TATTTTAATTACATTTTCTTTCACTTTTTTATATTTTCAAGTATTAACACGTTTCTTACATATATTCNTCTCCCCCCCCCTCTCTCTCTCTCTCTCTCTCTCTCTCCCTCCCTTCCTATCTCTCTCTCTCTCTCTCTCTCTCTCTCTCTCTCTCGCCCTCCCTCTCTTACTCTTCTCTCTCTCTCTCTCTCTCTCGCCCTCCCTCTCTTACTCTTCTCTCGCTCTATCTCTCTCTCGCCATCCCTCTCTCACTCTTTTCTCTCCCTCTCTCTCGTCTCTCACTTTCCCTTCCTCTGTCACTCTTCTCGCTTCTCTCTCTCACCCTACATCTCTTACTCTTTTTTCTCTCTCACCATCCCACTTTCTCTTTTCTCTCCCTCTATCTCTCTCTCGCCTCCTTCTTTCTCTTACATTTTCTTGTACTTTTCTTTCACTTTTTTATATTTCCAAGTACTAGCACGTCTCTTACATTATTCAGACACTCTCTCTCCCGCTCACTTTCTCTCTACTTATCTCTTTTTCTCTACTTCTCTCTTTCGCTCTACCTCTCCCTTTCACTCTACCTCTCTTTCTCCCTATCTATCTCTTTCTACCTCTCTCTCTCCCTCCCACTTTCTCTCTCTCTCTCTCTCTCACTTTCTCTCTCTCTCTCTCTCACTTTCTCTCTCTCTCTCTCTCTCTTTCTCTCTCTCTCTCTCTCTCACTCTCTCTCTCTCTCTCTCATTTTCTTTCTCGCTCTCCGTCTGTCTGATCAAACAACAATAATGATTAAAAAATACGATATGGTTGTTTACTAAGGAAATAAACAGAGTGACTGTCCCAACATAATTTGTATTAAATTCACTAGTTTTCGTGGTCCGCTTGACCAATTAATATCTTTCAATTAATTAAGGTTTTTAGTTGAGATAAAAAAAGTCAGTGTCACGAGCGGGATTCGAACCCACGACCTTCGGATAGGTACGCCGCTACTCTACCACTTGAGCTATCGTGATCTCGATCCACTCGGACACTTAACTTCCCATCTCAATCCCACCTTTTGAATTTTCCCACCTTTTTGTCATTGTTCAAATGTCGTGTAATCTATTTGATTCTCGGCGACAAATGAAATGGCCACGGAGAGCTTTAGTGAAGATATACTTCATTGTAACTTATTAAATTCACTAGTTTTCGTGGTCCGCTTGACCAGTTAATATCTTTCAATCAATTATGGTTTTTAGTAGAGATAAAAAAGTCAGTGTCACGAGCGGGATTCGAACCCATGACCTTCGGCTAGATACGCCGCTACTCTACTACTTGAGCTATCGTGATCTCGATCCACTCGGACACTAACTTCCATCTCAACCCCACCTTTTGCATTTTCCCTCCTTTTTGTCATTTTTCAAATGTGTAATCAGATTGGATTCTCGGTGACAAATGAAATGGCCACGGAGAGTTTTAGTGAAGATATACTTCATTGTAACTTATTAAATTCACTAATTTTCGTGGTCCGCTTGACCAGTTAACATCTTTCAATTAATTAAGGTTTTTAGTTGAGATAAAAATAATTTGTATTTAGTGCCAAGTCATGATAAAAATAGTTATTTTGTAAAATTGTTGTTTTCGTTCTTAATTCTGTACATTATAGATTCGAGTTGTATCTCTGTAGGAGGATCGAAATCTTCGAATGTATTTCGTTGTACTGCCTTTAATGTTTCTAGTAACAAAAATAACGTTTTATTTACTTGTGTCCTTTTTTCTCGTCTGATTTTTCAACTTGTGAGGAAAAATATTTATATTCTGTACGTATTTATCTACAATCAAACCAATTATTTTATAAGCGAAATGCCAAAGGTGAAAGAGAAAACCTTCCGAATAAGAAGACTCGAAAACTGATTGATTGAATTTTACATCATACTTCCCGTCACAATATTAAAAAAAAAATCAGTTTGTAAAACAGTAGAAAATACCATAATTATTTAATCCTTTCAATTCTAACAATGGAAGAGATTCTGAAAGTCTGTAATTTTCCTCATTTATTGCAAAATTTTAAACGAATTTTATTTAAAATTATATTTCGCAAGTTAATTAGTTGAATTTGTAAATGCCGAATTGTTGTAGAAACGTTCTGATCTGCCAACATAACGCTGATTACACTTCCATATTTTTTGTTATCAAGAGGTTTTATGTCGATTGTCAACAAATGTAGATAATTTTCGTGTTTCTGCTTTAAAAATAGGATTCCTTTTATTATCCCAACTGAAATTTAACGTTTATATTATGGGAATCGTCTGTAATCTTATCTATCGACCATCCCATTACTGTGAGTACCTTCAAATTTTGCACGCCTACTTTCCCTTAGTAATTCTCTTTCGCATTTTTAACATGCAGGCTTGGTTTTCAGTTTGCGATATTAAATGGAGCAAGGATTTGCTTTTATTCGGTAGGATTAACCGATTAACTTAGTTGTTAGCGTAGAGTTAGTATTAATATTATATTTTTTTTCTTCGTTATAACTTTTCCAATGGATTTCAGGTGTGTTCTAGTACGAAATGTCGACGAGTCGGAGGCTTCAAAAAGAGTTGAGCGACATTAAACAATCAGGATTGAAATCTTTTAGGGATATCAAAGTAGACGATAGTAACATTCTGCTTTGGACGGGTCTGATCGTTCCTGACAATCCACCGTACAACAAAGGTTCATTCAGGATACAGATCAATTTCCCTGCCGAATATCCTTTCAAGCCGCCTAAGATAATGTTCAAGACTAAAATCTACCATCCGAACGTGGACGAATCCGGCCAAGTGTGCCTGCCGATCACCAACCCGGAAAACTGGAAGCCGGCGACGAGAACGGACCAGGTCATCAAGACTCTGGTCGCCCTGGTCAACGATCCGGAGCCGGACCACCCTATGAGGGCCGACCTGGCCGAAGAGTTTACCAAAGATAAGAAGAAGTTCTTTAAAAACGCTGAAGACTTTACGAAAAAATACGGCGAAAAAAGACCCGTCGATTAAAAATATAAAAAAATCATCATCAAACCATCCTTCCTTTGTTTTTATAACATTTTACATTATTTTAACATTTAAGTTTTAATCAAAGATTTAATCCGTTTTAATTTAAAATAAATTACGCAATCTTTTATTTTAATGCCATTTTAATTTATCATTTTATTTTTAATTATGCCTAATATTACTATTACAATTGAATTTTACAAGAGAGAGTCCGACTGTAATACTAAATGTTGAAATATAAAAAAAAATTTTCTTTCTTTCATTATATTAAGATTAAATGAGTAAATAGTTTTACTAAGTTGTTCAAAAAAGTCTGAAAAGTTTTTTTGTTTTTTTAATTTCGAGTGTTTTAACCTTTGGAGTGCGATTAATAAACATTGTAGATTAATAAACATTATTGTTCATGTTGAAAAAAAAATACGTTAATATATTTGTGAAAAATGTATAATTATATAATTTCATGTACAGTCTATATCGTTAAAAAAATAAATAATAAAATTTACAAAACCTTTCCTTTAAATATACCCTTTACCTTTTTTAAAAATTTCTGTCAATTTCCTTTTGTGATCAAATTATTTTATTTAATAATTATTTATAATTTTTAAAAGAAAAACGTGTATTACTGATTCATATCGAAAATCAAATACCTTTCAATAGTAAAAATAAAAATGATCTTTTTGAACTAACGTCGTTATTAGTGGGTGTGTTCATATAAGGAAATTTTGCGACAATTTGTACTATGAAAAGTGCTTCAGGGATGTCATTAATAAAAAGCGGTAACAAAAAGGGGCTAAGGGGGCAGCCCTGTCTAACCCCAGATTCAACCAGAAATATTGTGACACTATGTTAACTTTAACAGCAGAACTTCCAGATAATAAGACCTCAGTCGAATGAGTCAAAAACGACCTTAAAGTCAATAAAGTGTATTAAAATTTAACATCCTTAAATATTGATGTCCTCCTGATTGATTGATCCTGATTGACATCCTATTGATGATTCCTGATATTTCCAGACTAACAATATTCATTAGCGAGATGAAATTACACGTTCATGTATGTGTAACATCTCTTACAAACAGATGTCCCAAAAAATAAAATAAAATAAAATTCATTAAAATTAAATTAATAATATAAACTAAAATAGATAAAAATAATAATTAATTAATAAGAATTTTAAAAGGTTGGTACCAATGTAAATAAAAGAAAGATAAACATAGAGGAGCTCGAGGGGACAGAGATCGGGAACTCTCCTGAATCCGAGTTGGAACAACCTAATTAGAAAACGCACAAGGTATTTAAGATCATTCTTTTCTATTCCTAATTTCCTTCGAGTGATTGTAGTTAAATTCATTTTGTTTATTTCGATTTATTTTATTTTACAAAATTTCAAGTGTTCTGTTTGTTAAGAAAAAAAAAAAAGAAAAAAAATATTATTTTGTTTCTTGTAGTTAAAACCGAATTATTAAAAAGTGTAATAACACAAATGTATTTTATTTTAATTTCTAAAGAAAATTGTTCGTATTAATTGTATCTTTCCTAATTATGGTAAACGTTTAACTTAAAAAAAAAAAATTTTATTATTTTACATTTTCATCTTTCATCATTTTATATCTTTATTAATTAACATAACTATTTTACTGAATAAGAATAAAATATAAAAATAAAATATAAAATTCATTCCTTTAAAAAATACCTCTGGGGCAAGTAAAACTAACTTGCTGGGCCGAAGCTTGAAGGAAGGAATTTTATATTTTACATTTCCACGGAGAGGACATATGTATTAATCGAAACAAACCCCCTCATGTTTTATGGTTTTTAGGACATTTTCAAGATGCTAATTTTTAAACTGAATACTTCAAATATGAATCATTCTGGTTCGAATTCAGGTGCCTAGCTTACAATGATGTCAGTCGCCGTGTCAACTTTTACGTTGTGCCCCCAAAACATTTTTCCTTAAATAAAACGTAATTTTACTTATTGAAAATGTAAGGAATCTATCTTATATTTTAAATTTTCATTTGTATTTTTTATATATATTTTGTTTAATTAACGCCGAACAAATTGCTAGCAGTTGTTGGTTTGTGACAGGGAGCTTAGGAATGCACGGAAAGCTGCTGTTCCAGTTACAAGCCTGTTCTTATCATCCAGATCGTCATCGATATACTCATCACTCGCCAAACTGACTTGTGATGAAATCCTCGAGTCTACAATATTCTCAGTTGAATAGCTAAAAATTAAATAAATGTGTTATTTACGTCTTATGTTATTCTGCTATACGTACAATTCGCCAGGGTTAATATTGGAATTGTCTCCGCGAAGTCGGGAGTCTTCGTGGGTTTGGTCCGTTTCGGATGTATCGGTTTCCGTTATCACATACCCTCGTGCATGCTTATCGTATGGGCAGGAATTAAAAATGGGAGGGGTTCCATCGTCCGAATAAGGTTGGTTCTTCAGGTCCATGTCGTCCATTTCCATTTTTAACTCTTCAGCCCTAGCTTCCTCCTCTTCGATCATTCGGATCCTCTTGACTTCACTGCAAATCAAGTTCCGTAAAGGAAAATCAGATTTAGATTTTGTCAACTTACTCTTCGATCAGTTTTTCTATAGCGCGCTTTTGTTCGTTTTCAGTAAAACCCATTCCTTTGCTGCAATCTATCATGTCCGATGCGAGCTTGACGGCCAGGTCCCTCTCGGCTTTTACGTCCCTCATCTTCAGTTGCATAACTTCGATCTCGTTTCTCGCCTTCTCCAGCCGTTCCGTGAGGTTCATCTGGTCTCTGAGAGCCGACTGGGTGATCCTTCCTTCGCGTTTTAAACATTCGACTTCTTTTGCCAAATCGTTCCTTTCCTGCAAATAAAAGACACCACCGTTTTGAATAAGAACCTGTACTGCATATACGTGAAGGTCCATTGATCTTTGCTATATTTAATTTTACATAGAACTTTTAGATTGTTTTTTATTTGATCATGAAAATTCTCACCTCTAAAGCTATCTGCAGTTGTCTTTCGGTTAATCCAGCTTCCTTTTTCAAAGCTTCTATTTCCAAAGCACTGTCTATTTTCATCCTTAAAACCTCGTCCTCCGAACCCATTTTCTGCCTTTCGTACAGGTCCAACGTGTTTTCCAGTGAAATCTTCCCCCTGGAAATGTCAAAAGTCACTCATACAGAACGTGCTTCGTTCACTGGTAAACTTACTTGTTGGCCAAATCCAGTTCGGACTTAAGGCTGGAAATCATCACGTCGGCCTCTTTGAGGCGGTCGTTGAGAGTTTCGTATTCGGCGTTGTCCGGCACGAAACACCTGAATAATTTAAAATTTAAATTTCAAATTTTAATTGAAATTATTATCATTTAACAGATCTATAAAGCTTTACCTCAAGAGAACGATTAATTTAAGGTGGCCTTTTACAATAATGTTAGATCCAGCCCAAAGCTGGATGATGTTAAGCTACCGAATCATAATCTTTCAACTAAAACTATTAAATTTAAAAATTCTATCATCATTCATCAGTGGTAAAGGTTGAACGCAATAATAAGCAATAATCGTTTCTAAATGACTGATGAACCAATTCTTTGAAATAGGTTTCCTTTGCTACAATTTTGAGTATTTAGCATTTTATAGCTCAAGTGAATTGGTATGGTATGGTATATTTGCCTATCCTTGTTTTGATTTGTAAAACATTTGCATTTCAGTGATGGATCTGTTTGAGTTTTGTGAAGTTAAATCTCATTTTTAAGGTCTAGAAGGATGGGGTGCTTATGTCATCATAATCTTTGTCGGTCGTTGCCTTTGGTCTAGCTATTTGCGAATGTTGGTCTTTTTTTTCAATTTAATTCGTAGTTTTTTGAATGATGTAAATGATGGTTATGAACTGTGATGTTAAGTTGTATATTATGAGATTTCTAGTGTTTATTGTGTTATGTTTATATATTTTTATTGTTTTTTATGTATCTATTAATACCTATGACCATTTGTTCCTTTTTGTATGTCGCGTTTTCAGGCTTGCGCTCAATAAATAAAAATGTAATTACCAAAGACTAATAAATTACACAAGAAAATTTGTGAAATTTGCAATTATCTTTTCTGATGAAAACAGACATAACGAGTGGTATATAGGAATGGTATGATATGGAAATAAGGATACTAGGAAGCGCGGTTTTTTTGTTCCCCAGGCACTGCAGTCTTCTGGTTATTGTACCTTCATAGTTCCTTAGTTCAGTGCAATAGACTCAAACCTTCTCCTTAGAAAGGTCATTGACTGTCGCTGCTACAATTTCATTTCCTAGATTTTTTCCTATGTTAGGAATATAGATATAAGTATAGATGATATAAGTGGTTGTTTCCTTCTCCTCATTGCATAAACTGTAGATGGGATCATCGTTGTATATGTCCATGGTGTGTAGATGTTTTCTAAGATGCCAGTGAGTGGTTCAGTCCTATCCCTTTCTCTGAGTTTAGCCCTCCCCATTTGCAGCGTCGATTTTGCCAGTCTAGCTGAGGGTTGTTTCACCATAAGTTTACTATGTCTAGTACCGCTAGAGTTCATCCACTTCTCCTTTATATAGATAGGATATATAGGTAGAGGGATAGATAAAAAGAAAGAAAATGAGAGAGAGAGAGAGAGAGAGAGAGAGAGAGTGAGTGAGAGGAGTTACTAAGGGAGGTAGACAAGATAAATAAGGAGAACAAAGATGAATGTTTGGGGAAGAGACAAATGGAGCGGAAATGAAAATGGGGGAGAAACACAGAAACAAAGTTTGAGAGAAGGTGCAATATGCAGAGAGAAAGGAAAAGGGGACTGAAAGAGAGAGAGAGAGAGAGAGAGAGAGAGAGAGAGAGAGAGAGAGAGAGAGAGAGAGAGGAGCGGGNAGAGAGAGAGAGAGAGAGAGAGAGAGAGAGAGAGAGAGGGAGAGAGAGAGAGAGAGTGAGAGAGAGGAGCGGGAAAACAACAAAACTACATACATAGTTGTTAGTTACATAATTGTTAAAATAATTCTCTGGGCAACGCCGGGTTATAAAGCAAGTTGTATATTTATCAGGAATATACCAATATTCCAGAATATACCAATTCATTGTAAATTGGTATATCGTAAAAAAAGCATTTTTGAGTCGAATAAAATAATTTTGATTGAGAGAAGATAAAACGTTAGTATTGAAGATAACGAGAAGCCAAAACGCGTTGGACAAAGCGAAACGGGACGAAAGACAGAACAAAATGATTGGAATCGACCAAACTGCAAATTAATAAATTCTGTTTCAAAATAAGTTCACTGTGTCTAGCGCCGCTAGAGTTGATTCATTTCTCTTTTTGTTTTGTTTGGATTCTGCGATGGAGGATTCTATATTTGTTTTTGTTATCCAAAGTATAGGTTCGGAGCCTATGTATGGTCTTGCAGATCCTCAGGCCAGTCTGTCTGCTTTTTCGTTACCTAAAATTCTTCTGTGCCCTGGCACCCCAGATATCATCAAGTGTTTCCCCTGGTTTTGGAGAATTTGGATACATTCCCTGACTAATTTTGATGTGTTTTGATGTTTTTACATGCTAATGCTTTAATGGCTGCTTGGCTATCAGATCTTGTGAGGATTTGTTTGCCAGTGTAACCTCTTTTAAGATTTTCCAGGCCACAGCACGTATTTATGTTTGAAAGACCGAAGTGTATTTCCCTATTGAGTTTGATTGCTCATGTTTTGGGCTTGTACAGAAAATGTCCCTCAAGTGAAGTACATTTTATATAATAAGTACGTTTAATCTTGGTTAAATAAACCAATAAAGATTCTAAAGTTTTTCATAGCAACAAAAAGGAGTAAAACTATAGATTCTTCATGGAAAAATTTAACAAGCTGTCTTCTTTATCGTTTTTGTTATGCAGATATGCTGAACGTTGGGTTTTTTGATTAACGAAAACTACTGGACTCTTATAGATACACAGGCATTTTCGAAGCCTTACTAGCTTCACAATATCCGGAGTTCACAAATCAACCCCAATATTAAGCTACCTTCCGTCATTACCATGTGGATTGTTTTAAGAATCCAGGTTCTTCTGTTTTTATAATTCATGGAAAGCCTGTATGGTGTTGACTAGCCAATCATTGGCTATTAAGTCTTACAAGTTTAAAAAACTAATTTTGAATAGCAGTTGGAGATTTGTTACATGAAATTGAGTTAGAATTCGTTGCTTTATAGAATCTACTTCATATAGTACATAATTCATTAAATAAATAAAACAATTTGATTTCCTAAAAGGTAACAATAATAATTTTGTAAGAGTCTAAAAAATCATCTGTTTGTTAAAATAAAACACGTAGATTTCCAACATTGCATGCACCTTTTTTGAGTGAGTTTTCAAATTGTTTATACAGTGGAATTGATTAAGGTTAAAGTGAATGAACAGGACTCACCTTTGGTTGAACCTCGTGCCTGTTAAAGAGAAATATGGATTTGCACCAGCCCAAAACGTAGACATCCTACTGGTTTCAGGACCCGATCCGCGTAGTGTCGCTCTTTCATCGAGCTTGCAAACATGAATTTCCATTTGAAATACAACAAGCCAACAACCAATAAATCCGAGCTTACCTTCTTTCTAACGGTGGTTACAATAAAGCACAATGCAATTAGAGTGGCCAGCAGGAAGTAGACGCCTCGTGAGACGAGTAGGGAAATCCATTCGCCCAGCGTTGTAGCAGTATCGTCTGAGTAACAATCGCTGTTTCACTGATATTCTGACAACAGTTTTCTACAATACCTGTGGGGACGGGCACAGCAGCAAGGACTGGATTGAGCAACAAAAGCAGATAGAGCATTTTGATCCGCGTGAATAACAACGCCGAGATGATTTGTTAGGTATTCTAAACTTCGTACATGACGATAAAAACAATATATTCCTACTAATATCAGCTGTAAAAACAGATGTGCTAATGAGATACTAATAGAAATAATTGATTAACAATCATGCTCATTTTGTCTATTATAATTTAATTTTTAGTTACTCATGTTTCATGTTTTTGTCCGTGTCAAACAAAAATAACATGTTTCAATTGATTAATCGAATAATTCAAATGATCATTTGTAAAGGTAATATTCGTTTTTTGCACCCTAATAAAAAAAAACCTGAATACAAATTTTTGGAGAAATAAAAATCTCAAAATATTCCTCCGCCAACGATTTTTTAATTAAAAAAAGAATATATATATACAAAAATAGTGATATCTTTTAACTGATTCCACCGATTCACTAAATAGGGATAGGGATAAAACAGGCGGCCACAAGTCCTTCTGCACCTCGACTTGAGAGATCTATTGCGTTCCCATGTTTTTACTCACTGGCCAGTTTCAGGTTGTTAATTAACCTCCATAGCCTTACCACCTCCTTAGTGTAGGATCTTGCTTGTTTTTCCTGACCTAGTTGCAAGAACCTGCACCTACATAGACTTTCACAGAAATATAAAATGTATTCTGCGGTCTCCTCCTCATCCTGGCAGTATCTGCACAGTGTTTCTGTACTCCTATCCGGTGCATGTGCTTTCTTAAGTGGCAGTGCCCTTTCAGGAGTCCAACCAGAATCCTGGTTCGGTTGCTGTTGCCTTTGTAAGTATTGCGGATGGACCTTCTATGAATCTCTTCGCATGTCTCATGCCTGTGGTATTCCACCAGGTTTTGGACTCATTAAGGACTCATTTTAAGATGTATCCTCTTTTGTGGCTGGATGCTAAGTCTCGGTAGGTTCAGGACCTAGAGAGTTCATGTTGGCCCCCTCTGGCCAATATGTCAACCTTTTTATTGCATGTATGCCCCGAGTGCCCAGGGTTGCCATGATAGGAGGCCCTACATGCAGTTCCAAAAACTCTGCCTTCACCTCGCATGAAGGCGGCTATCTTCCGGAAATGTATTCCTAGCCTTTTTATTTCCTGGCGCAGTGTTCAATAGCTATGATTTCATACTGTGGCATATTTACCTACGTTTACCGTCAGTTCGGTCTTAAGCCGGGAACACACTTACCCGATGCTACGCCATGCGACGCTACACGATGCAAATCCAAACTCCGATTTTCCGTAAGGTTGTATTACCCCCGTGCACATCTACTCGATGCTACGCCACGCAAACCTACTCGACGCTCTGCGATCCCCACTGTCCAAATTTTCGTCGGGTCCCATCGAGTACGGTCGAAGACAAAAGAACCGGACACTCATATTTTTATTTAGATTACATGTATTATTGTCGTTATATTAATTACAACATACTTATTTTAATATAAACCAAATTAACTGCGATTAAAAATTAATTAGTTTTTATTTAAAAAATTAATTTTAATGGTTTGGTAGAAAATTAATCAAAACACCGGAATACGATTTTTTGATATAATGAATTTAACTAACAATTTATTGTACTCGCTTCGGCGGTACATATATTAAAATTGGAACAATTTATTACACCGTTTTGCTCATAAAATTTAATTAACAATTTATTTCATAGTTTTGCTCGTAAAATTACACCATTTTCGTCGGATAACATCAGAACAGGACATTTATATTTTTTGTAGTTTATTTCAAACTAAGTACATGTAATTTTGTCGTTATATTAATTACATGTTATTTTAATGTAAACCAAATTAAACGAGATCAAAAATGCAAAGGTTTTTATAAACATTGTTTAATTATGATGGTTAGGAGTAACTTTATTTAAAACAATTAAGTTTAACAAACAATTTATTAGATGGTTGTGCTTATAAAATTTAACTAACAATTTATTACAAGGTTTTGCTCAAAATAGTGCATTAAGAACGAAAGATGCGTTGCGATTGTGATAGTGATTATTGTGATCGCTGTGGACTGTACGCGACGTGTGCTTGCGTCGGATAGATGTGCACACCCCACCGATCTCCGTGGCCATTTCATTTGTCGCCAAGAATCAAATAGATTACACGACATTTGAAAAATGGCAAAAAAGAGGGAAAATTCAAAAGGTGGGGTTGAGATGGGAAGTTAGTGTCCGAGTGGATCGAGGTCACGATAGCTCAAGTGGTATAGCAGCGGCGTATCTAGCTCATGACAATGACTTTTTTATCTCAACTAAAAAACCTTAATTAATTGTAATATGGAGAAATGACTCCTCAAGTAACCGGTGTTGCGTTTTCCCCCTAATTTGCATACTAAATGCCTAGCTATATTTTTTTAAACATTTTTTATTGTTAAAAGGGGTGAAAAAGAAAAGCTACCTAAAAGATAATTTCGAAATTCCTCAAAAAAAATAGTGGGCATATACGTGACAAGACGTCGGGTAGCGTCGCTTAGCGTTGCATCGGGTAAGTGTGCTCTCGGCTTAATGTTTAATATTGAAATATCATTTTCGACTTTTAAAATCTGGTATTTCAATGTCGTCAGGTCACTATCAGCGAAGAGGCTGACCTCTCCCAGTGCTGTTACCAACTAATATCTATTGCCTTTCTGACTTGTGTAACCTGACATTGGCAGAAGGCTAAGGCGTCCTCCGTACTCGACTGGTCCCGGGTCTTCAGAGAATCCGGTGTCAGCGGCAGTTATCAGTTGGCTTTCAGAGAAGTGACGACCTTATTCGTTGGAAAGGATACGCGAATTGGGCGTCGATCCGTTTTCAGCAGTTGGTCTTCCTACTTCGACAATGGCATTCGACAGCTTCCAGCATCAGGCCCAGTTTCCGGCCGTGGATCACGTCGACAACGAGCTTGTCGACAAAATAGTCAACAAGCTCAAATCTCAGGGGATCTTCGATCAGTTCAGAAAGGACTGCCTAGCCGACGTCGATACCAAGGTAACTCTCATGAAAAGGAATTCACATTTTTCAAGGCCGACGAGAAAAACTATCATAATTCGCTTTTTTATCAGTTAAATCTTTTAAGAATTGTCGGCGGATGACAGTTGTTATTATTTTTAAAGAGTTTGCTTTGTTTTGACACTTTACACACCCTTAAGTTTTGACACTTTTGAAAATGATTTGTATATTTGTAGTTTTTTGTTGTTGGATATAGAAGAACGAAACCCGTTAGTAGAGCTTATTATTTTTAAAACCAGTTTGTACTGCTTCTAATTTCGGTTACATCTGTGTATCGCTTAATCTTCTGTTTGAGAATCATATTATTTTCTATGTTTACAATTTTTTAGCTAGTTTATACTTTGTTTTACTGCTTATAAGGTTACATCTCTAGAATGCTGATGTTGCAATTTTTGTACTGTTGTTGATGATGTAGTTGTTTAACAACTTTATACTTAATCTTGCTGCTTCTTACTAAGGTTACATCTCTAGAACACTGTATCTTCTGTTTGAGAATGTTATTATTTTGCTGTTATTGCAATTTTTTTTAGATAGTTTATACTTCGTTTTAGTGCTTCTAAGGTTAGATCTCTAGAACACTTTGCAATTTTTGTACTGTTGTTGATGATGTAGTTGTTTAACAACTTTATACTTAATCTTGCTGCTTCTTAAGAAGGTTACGTCTCTAGAACACTGTATCTTCTGTTTGAGAATGTTATTATTTTGCTGTTGTTGCAATTTTTTAGCTAGTTTATACTTCGTTAGTGCTTCTAAGGTTAGATCTCTAGAACACTATTATTTCAATTTTTTAGCTAGGTTGTTTTAGTGTTTATGAGGTTACATTGTTGCAATTTTTTTAGCTAGTTTATACTTTGTTTTAGTGCTTATAAGGTTGATCATTGATGCAATTTTTTACTTATAAGGTGACATCTCCAGAACGCTTTTGTTGCAACTTTTTAGCTAGTTTATACTTTGTTGTAGCTACTTTATACTTTGTTTTATTGCTTCTAAGATTGCATCTGTAGAACACTGTTGGTTGCTATTTTTTTGTTGAACGTAATGTTGTACTTTGCTGTGCTATATATAATTAAAGTCACATCTCTACATCGCTGTCCTTTACTATTGTTGTTGTTGTTGTTGTTGTTGTTGTTGTTGTAATTGTTTAACAAGTTTATACTTAGTCTAGCTGCTTCTTACTAAGGTTACATCTCTAGAACGCTGTATCTTCTGTTTGAGAATGTTATTATTTTGCTGTTGTTGCAATTTTTTAGCTAGTTTTTACTTTCTTTTAGTGCTTCTAAGGTTAGATCTCTAGAACATTGTTATTTCAACTTTTTAGCTAGGTTGTTTTAGTGCTTATAAGGTGACATCTCCAGAACGCTTTTGTTGCAATTTTTTGGCAAGTTTATACTTTGTTTTACCTGCTTTATACTTTGTTTTATTGCTTCTAAGATTGCATCTCTAGAACACTGTTGGTTGCTATTTTTTTGTTGAACTTAATGTTGTACTTTGATGTCCTATATATAATTAAAGTCACATCTCTACATCGCTGTCCTTTACTATTGTTGATGTAATTGTTTAACAAGTTTATACTTAGTCTAGCTGCTTCTTACGTTCTTACTTACTTCTTCTTAGGTTACGTCTCTAGAACTTTGTTGGTTGCTATTTTTTTTAAAACATTGTTTAGCTAGTTTATACTTTGTTTTAATGCTTCTAAGGTTACATCTCTAGATTGCTGTTGGTTGCTATTTTTTTTTAAACATAATTTTGTTCTGTGTAATTGAAGTTACATCTCTACACTGCTGTCGCTTATTGTTGTTATTGATATTACTTTATTAGGTAACATCTGTAAAATGCTGTTTCTTCCGTCACTGTCTCTTCCTCTGAGGGTAGTAGTTGTTGTTGATGTTGTAATTGTTTTACAAGTTTATGTATTACTTTGCTTCTTCCAATTGAAGTTACAAGTCAATGACAAGACAAGACAAAAATGAATTTATTTGTTGTACATTGAATACATTATTCTGGGGGAGGGAATTAAACGATAATAATATAGACCAAAATAATTTAAATGAACAGCCTGCACACAGTAAGTTTAACTTGTGCTCAATAGCAGTGGTTGTGAGCTCTCAAATAGTTTTATACATTACAAAAATAAACAAAAAACATATTTACACAAATTAGTGATAGCAATATACAATTTATTTAACTATTGATTATTTTAAGTAATTTTTTTACAAAAACATCCTAACAACCCTAAATTAATCTATTATTTCAATGTTAACATTTTTTAGTATATCATCATAATTTTTTGACAGATAAAAGTGTAGGTGTATCATCAGCAAGTCTCAATATATTACCAGAAAGTTTTAGTTTAAGTAAGTCATTAATGTAAATCAAAAATAATATTGGGCCTAAAACACTTCCATGTGGAACACCATAATTAGTGGAATTGCTAAAAGTTTGGCCTTTTTTTTCGTTTTTTGAGATCTGTTTAACAATAAGTTTTAATGAATTTTAACCTGAGCCTTTGGTATCAATATTGAAAAAAATTTCTGGCAATACAGCATGATCTATAGAATCAAATGCTTTTGAGATATCCAAGAACAATCCTATGACTTTATTTCTAATGTTAAGAACTCTTTATATAAAATCAGAAGCCTCAAAAAGTTCATCTTCTGCAGACTTACACGATTGAAATACATATTGGTTTGGGGCAAATATTTTGTTATCAGAAAGAAAATCAACAATTCCTATTTTTAAAACATTTTCCAAAAATTTTACTTAGTGATAATGTAAGGGAAATAGGTCTGTAATTGTTAGTATCATTTTTTGGGCCCGATTCATGTAATGGGATTACTATAGTTTTTTTAAATTTAGTGAGAAAATGTCCAAGTTTAAAAGATAATTTATAAATGTGAATTAGAGGAAGAAATATTATGGAAGAAAAATTTTTAAACTAAAAATTTGATAAATTATACTCAGTGAAGGTACATGGGTAGAAGTTCTTCATAGGATGTTGGTTTTAGCCAAGAAAAATTTAATATAAACTGCACAAAAATGAATAGGGATATTTGTTATTTATTTTTATTCTATTCATTTTAATTAAATTAACCAATATATTCTTGTTAGTTGGATAAAACAAAATAGAAAATACAAATAAATGTTAATCCTTATTTTTAATAACGGATGTACATAAGAATAATAAACATGAAGATTTGTAAACAACATTTTGTACATTTTGTAAACAAACACCTTTTCTCGTCTTTTCTCCAGTTTAATTCTCTTAATTAATGCTCTTTAACCATGGAAAGACATCATCTTGAACCAGAAGTTCACAATAATATTACGAACTTCTGGTTCAAGATGATGTCTTCACATGGTTAAAGAGAATACAACTGGATTAAAATGGAGAAAAGACAAGAAAGGCGATTGTTTACTAAATGAGTAATCTTCATGTTTACTATTTTTAAATGTTTACTATTCTTAAGTAAATGTGTAATTAAAAATGAGGATTAACAATTTTTTTGTTTGTATTTTCTATTTTGCTTTATCTAACTAACAAGAATATATCGATTAATTTAATTATAATTAATCAAATCACAATAAAATTACAAATATCCCTATTCATTTTTGTGCAGTTTAGTTGATAGGACCTGATAGGGAATCATTGCTCATTGATCGATAAAAGAATAACACTTATTTCAGTGGCTGCCTAAAAAAATAAGAACATTTGTTATAAGAAAATAAGCAAAAAATAAGCACAACTTTTTTAAATTTTTTAAATATTTTTTAACCAACAATATAACTATAAAACTTGTGCATTAAGATATGTAGTAATGTTAATAGTAAGTCTCGCTTTGTTTGGCTTATTTTTAGCCTGCTTATCAACATTTGCAACAGCGTGTTAATGGCAGTGTATCTGGTTTTCTGAAAAAGAACCAATGGAAGCAGGACTTAAATAAGACCCAGCTTCGTGAATCATTGAGGCACCATGTTCAACAGTAAAACAATATTTGTTATAAACCATTATTGTTAGATTTTGGTGGTTAATCTTAATTTTTTAGAGGATTTCTTCAAGCAGGAGTCGATCGGATTGTCGATCAAGTTGTAAATTCCAAAATCTATTCAGTTTTTATGCCAAAGGTCGAGGATATGGTATACGAGACACTTGGCATTGAAAAACCAAAACGGCCAGAAAGGGTTAAACCAATAGGTATTCAAAATTACTTAGATGTTATCCTCTTTCATTTTTGGTATTTTTACTTGTCTACTTATTAGGCACTTCATTGGCTCCAAAAGTCGAATCGCCAGTTAATACACCACAAAAGGAAAAACCCGCCGAAACCACCCCTACTGAGCAACAGCCAAAGTCCTCTCAATCACCGATGAGTTTGCTTCCGAAAGGTTTGGATCCTATTTCACCTCCTAGTGACATAGAAGATGTAGATCGGGATGATTCAAACACAATTGACGAGACACCTTTTCTTCTCGCTTCATTAAAACAGAAAGAAGCCGCGCCTCCACAGCATTCTGAGGTGAGCAATGGTTCTAAACTATCTGGAATTTCTGAGTTGTCGAGCCATGGAAGCAGAATAGAGATTAGTTCGACGACAAACAGTATCGTTCCTAAAACCCCTACTAAAAGCACCTCTAATCAAAAACTGGACAACTTCTCTAATTTATCAGAGAAGTTAAAGCAGTTCGATCCTCTCAATAAAACCATCAAAAATACACTTTCAGATTCCAAAAAAGCTAATGACAGTAGATGCTCTGAGGAAGAAGTGTCATCAACTTCTGCAACTCTGCCAGTAGAAAGTGAAAGTAATGGTTACAATCGGGATGACTCGAATGCTGAACTTGAACGTCAGCTTATGTCTGAAGACTCCAAAAGCTCTTTAACTGATTTCAAGAAGTTCAAATCTCATAAGGCAGATCTGAAATCTGACAATGCAAATAAAACTGAAGAAGATTCCAGCGTTAATGATTCTAATTTGGAAAGTAAAAAGTCTCGATCAGAGAAGAGCAAAAAATCTGATAGTTCGAAAGACAAAGATCTTAAAAAGAAGAGTGATAGAAAAGAAAGTTCTTCGTCTAAAGAAAAAGACAAGAAAAGAACCGAAAGAAAAGATTCTGAAAAAAAAGATTCATCTAAATCCTCCCGCCACAGCAGTTCTAAAAGTCACGATTCTAAACGAAGTGATGATTCAAAACACAGAAGTGACAAAAAAGACGAAAAAAGTTCTTCGTCTCGTGATAAATCAAAGGACGATAAATACAGGTTAAAAGACGATAAACACAAATCTGAGAAAAAGCCCGAGTCAGAGAAGAAAGATCACAAAAAGGAAGATGACAAAGAGAGTAAGGAGAAAAGAGAAAGCGATAAAACAAAAAGTAGTAAGGATTCTAAAAAAAGTGAACGTCACCACAAAAGTAGCACGAGTGACAAAGACAAAGCTAAGCATAAAACATCTGATAAAAAATCTGACGAGAAACATAAAGAGGAAGACAACAAAAAAGATAAAGACGATGACAGAAAAAAAAGAGAAGAAGAAAAGAAAAAAGATAAATCAAAGAAAGAAGATGCAAAGGATAAAAACAAAGAAAAAGAAAAATTATCTAGAAAAAGAAAAGGAGAAAGGTGTTCCGAGGTAAAATCAAAAGAATCCAGACGGTCATCTGATAGAGATAATAGTGGTTCTGGCCATAGCAGTAAGAAACCTTCTTCTCACTCAAGCCATAAGAGTTCTAGCGAAAAAACATCATCGTCAAAACATAAAGAGCATGGTCAAAATGGAAATGGTCCTCAGGATGCAGATGAAGGACTGAGCGAAGTGGATCTCATCTTGATGAAAATCAATTCCTCAATAGAAGAGGAAGAAATTGCAATGGCTCCTTTGAAAAAGACCAAATTTGCAAAAAATGCCCACGAAGTTAAGAAAATCATTAATGCAAAGAGACACTTAGAAAGGCAGAAAAGAAATTCTTTGCTAGACAGCACACCTAATGAGGAGTCACCCATCGACAACAAAGAAAATCTGCAAGATCATATCGCTCACCAAAATATAAAAGAAAAAGAGGAAACTCAACGAAATGAAATAAAACTTTTTGTTCCTGAAAATGAAATTAAATCGGAGGATACGGTTGATAAGAACATACAAGATCTTTGTGCTTTCAAACCAGAACAGGAACAGGAAGATATACAAACTGTAGAAACGGAGTTCCTGACTGAAGACAATGTACCTGAACAAAATCGAAAAGAAGATTGTACAGAAAATGAATCAGAGCTAACAGATAATCAGACTCAGAATACTGTGTGTAATGAAACAAATGATTATTCAGACATAAAAGCCTGCATTCCAGAAGAATCACAAAAAGAAGAAGAAACAAATGATCTTAATGTTTCTACTTCTGTTACTGAGGCAGCTAAGAGTCCCGAAGTTGAAAAGACAAAATCAGTTTTGATAAGCGATAATGAAATGGATGGTTCTTCATGCAACATAGCAAATAATTCTGAAAGTGAAAATCAGCCTTCATTCCTGGGATTTGATTCTGAATGCATTGCTGTAGCAAAACAACAATTAGTCATTTTAAACAATTTAATAGAGAAAATGCGATCGTTAGAAACTCAGGCTCTGTCAAGTGATGATGAACTTGACAATAATCTCAACAACCTAAGATCTTCCAGGCTGAGGAAAAGAAAAAGCTGCGATGCAACTCATAAAGTACAAAGAAATATCAGGAAAAGCGTAAAAGGGAACAATGGCTGTGTATCTTTAAGAACCTCTGATGATAATGACTGTCCTGAAAATTGCATCTCACCAAGATCAAAGGTATTTATTTATTTTCTATTGTAATGAGTTGAATGTATGATTTTTTTTTTCTTTTATAGAGCCCAGACAATTCTCCAACCAAGCCATTATCTTATTCTTTGACGGAAGCTATGTTGAACAACTTGCTAAAAGAGTCCAACATAAGTACATGTATGTATCCTTAAATTTAATTTTTGTTTAATGGATTATTAAAAAAAAAATATTTTAGTTCAAAATCGGGAAGATGACGAAGAAGATGTCATACCTAGCAAGACGGTTGTTAAATCTACAAGAAATGTTAAAAGCACAAAAATCGACAAGACTGAGAAAAAAGAGAAATGTACCCCTGATGGGAAAACCCTCAGCCCAGGTGAAATATTCGTTTGTGTTTTACATCGAATAAAAGTGTAAAATAACTAATGAGACATCAGCGAATCATCTTTTTAGTGCCTTTTCAAAAACAAATGATAACTATCATCCAAATTTATATAATTGGTGTCATAAACTTACTTTTTATTTATGGAAAGAGAACATTAACTAGAAAAAAATGTAATTAATGCAATTTCTATTCCTTCATCTCTTTTATGCATTCTCCCTATTGGCACTAACGGGATCTTTATTTAAATGTAAGTAAAACTAATGAAATTGGAAATGTTTTAATTTAGACTTTTGGTGTATTGAATTCATTTGTGTGGGCCATTTTTATTGTGATACACAATTCTTAATATTGTGGTACAAATAACACATATATTGATAGTTAAAAGTGGATTTATAATTTTATCTATGATGGTTTCAACAATTTCTTCTCAGAAGGTTATATTGGGCTGGTGCAAAAATAATGCAGGTTTTGAAAAGGCAGTCAAAACTGTTTAATTTTTATAAAATAAAGAAAATTTATTTGAAATATTTTCCATCACAATCTATACATCTTTGCCAACGTGTAATAAGAGCTTTTATTCCACTGACATCAAAAGCTTTATTTTGAGTTATAATAAAGTCTTGGGAGGCATTTTCAGCTTTATAAATTTTATCCTTTAAGAAGTGATCAAAATGCCTCAAAAAGTGGATGTTGGGTGAATGAGGGTTTCATATCCTAAGTCCTTAAGTTTCCAAAGGGTTCGCATTTGCGATAAGTGGCCTGACGTTATCGTGAAGAAGAATTGGCCCTTACGGTTTACCAATGCTGCACATAGACCTAGTTTCCCTTGAATTTTGTCAATTTCTTGGCTATATTTCTCTGCTATGATAGTTTCACATAATTCAGGAAATTATAGAGAACAACCTCAGCAGAACACCACCAGTTACCATAACCATTTTTGAGAACAGATTTTAGTTTTGGGAAGTGTATTGGCGCTTCATCCTTGCCCAATCACTGACCTTTATGCCTCCTGTTATCGTACAGAATCCATTTCTCATCACACTTGATGATTCGATTGAGAAATGGATATTTTGGTGGCGGAACAGAAAAGATGTACAAATTTCAAAGTGTTGATCTCTTTGGGCTTCATGCAGCACCCACTTGTTAAGCTTCTTTACTTTACCAATTTGCTCCAGAAGGCGAACAAAGCAGTGTTCAACAATAAGCTCTTCCGCAACTTCCTATGTTATCTTACATGAATTTTCTTCATTCGTTATGAGTTGGTAGTCATCCACAATAGAAGGCCTACCGCGACCTTCCCTAAGTTTGAGATCGAAATTTCTAAGACGAAATCTCTGAAACCATCGCTGGACCGTGCATTCGTTAATGCTTCCCTCCTCCAAACTGTATTGATGTTACAGGCGGTTTGGGCCACACTTTGCCCCAGTTCATACAAATTTATTGAATATCTAGTTTGGACATATTAAATTTCACAGGTCCTCACTCTTATAAAATTCAATATAAACTAAAATGTTTTGTATAAAAGATAACAGTTAAAAGAATTTATTAAAATCCATAAATTAGATTTGAGGATTTAGCTTGGTTGCAAAGCACTTGCAAAAATAAAACTAATTTTCAAAACCTGCATTAATTTTGCATCAACCCCAATAATTAAATAATATAGGTAAGATGAATTGGTGAATTACTTTTTAAAATAAAAACCTAGCTAGTAAGTTCTAAATGATCAGGGTTAAATCTGTTGTACATTATTTTCAATCAGAAATATTTTTACTTTAATAATTATGAAAATTTTTTAATTAGAACAAAACTAGTTCCAAACTGAGTTAATCCCTTTGAGTTTAGTCATTATTAGAATTTAATATTCATCTCCATTTTTCACTGGTCTTTTCTCAATATAAACTTGTTTCTCATTCCATTACTGAAAATTATACTCATATTTGTTGAGATATGCTAGTTAGTTAAACCTCAACCTGAACCCTGATGAAGCTCACGCATTGTAAAGAAACAGGGTATAAAGTTTGAAATTTTGTTTCTTTAGGTATTTACGTAGGTAATTTGGCCCATTTCAGTCGCCTTGATATTGTTGAAGTTTGGCCAAAAAGGAAAAGTAATTTTTGTCATACAGGAGGGTTTAATGTCCAACTACCCATTAATAATAAGTTAAAAATCTGTTTCAACGGGGGTGTCGGTGGCTGCAGGCTGCAACGGTTTAGGTGTTGACACTGTGCTCATCACTGTAAGGTAAAGGTCCCGGGTTCGAATCCTGCGGCTCTGCATTCAAACCCGACATACTTACAAACAGGCTTTTTTCAAAAGCACCTGCTCCCTGAGGGTTGATATGAGCTATGCTTTTGTGAACACACCAAAAAGTTTATTAATGCTAAGTGATTAGATTAGAAAAAAGGCGGCCTCGTTACGATCTTTGCACTGCGACAGTATTGGTGTATTGTGCAACTCCTATGTTGGCTAAAGCCCTCATTAAGCTTAAGGCTTTTTACCAGATCCTAAAGCTTTTTTAAGGAGTCCCGTGTGTATCCTTCAGGTCCAGGATTTTCCTACTCCCAGGTGTAGGAATTTCAGCTTAGGCCTTCACACCAACAGAGGACACGTTCTGCTTTTTCTTCTTCTTCCTGGCAAAATCTTCACAGGCTTGTTTCTTTCTGCTACTCCGAGTGTACACAGCAGTCCAACTTTCAATCTATTCCTAGTATCGATGAGCTGGGTTATCTACCTGCTGGAAACATGAAGTTTTTCGGAGTAACTACGGAAGAGGTCAACACAGAGAAAAAAACTTCCTTTCAGTTTTTGCCGAGCTTTCGTCAGTTTTTATACTGTCATCTTCAGGGCCTGTTTTATTATCATTTTTATTATCATATAAAAAAACAACAATTAAAAACATGAAAAAACAATTGCACAAAAATTGAAAATTTGATATATCTTACTTTAACCTTAATGGGGAAATAAAAAGGAACGTGGTGTCGTGGGCACCAAAGTACATTATGTTTTTTGGTGCTCAGCACTTGTTTTTTGTGCAATTGTTTTTTCATGTTTTTAATTGTTGTTTTTTTATATGATAATAAAAATGATAATAAAACAGGCCCTGAAGACGACAGTATAAAAACTGTTGAAAGCTCGGCGAAAATTGAAAGGAAGTTTTTTCTCTGTGTTGACCTCTTCCGTAGATCCTCCGAAAAACTTCATATTCTTAGTATGAAATAGTATAGCCAGTAGGTGTCCTCATTGAACTTGGCCAATTTATCAGCTGCTTCGTTTCTCCTCTGCCCTATGTGCCCTGGTACCTAGACTAGGGTAATTTTGTTGTTATCCACAATGTCTGACAGTGCTCTGGTGCAGTCCCAAACAGCTCTGGACATTATTCCTAATGAGGAAGTTGCCCATCGTGCAAATAAATTGCAATTCGATAACGTTTCTCATACCAATTTAGTAGCCTTAGTCCCATCACAATCTCCATCATTTGACTTAAACGATAACCTACAAGAAGGGCCAGGAATTATCAAACTGCGGATAAATAGGTGAAATGGAATACAAGTCAATAAACTCACAATTTTGAAGGTTTTACAATAAATATTTTAACTGTGCATGCCTAATTGTCTGCGGATATCCTGGTTTGGCAGATGGGTTCAGTAGTGTCAGGCAGACTTTTACACTGAAGAATTGTCTGATAGACAAAACTGTCAAAAATGTCAGGCCAGGATGAATGATGAGATAATCAAGGGTCACAAATGTTCAGGTTGAGCACTTTTTCAACTATTTGAATTCGGTGATGTTATTTTTCAAACTATAACAACCAATTTCATATTTTAATCTATCATGCCAAAGAAGTTTATCACATTTATATAGTGTGCTTTTGCCATTGCAATTAATTAATTTTCAAATAAACTGCTAAATCATGAAAAATCTTTTTCTCTGTTTGCAGCACTCCATGACAAACGACGGAAGCCGAAGAGGTCATCAGCAAGGTAAGCTTTAAATCGAAAACCTTTCTAACATAGGCTCTAACATTGATTTTAAGCACAATTTGAGGCATTTTGTCACAAATTTGAAAATTATCCAATATGAATTTTGAATTGATGATGGGGATTCGGGGGGTGTTCAGGTCTTCGGCCCAAAGGTATGATAGTACTGATTTGTACAAACCAAGGGCCGTGGCTGCTCAGAGCTCGAGGAGGTTGAGAGCGCTGAATGGTAAGTTCAAATACTTTCTTACCAATGGTTCAATTGAAATTAAAGCTAAGGGCCAGTCAATAAAATTCCTGAAAAACTGTTATAAACAGTTTTTGGTTGCCATATCCGTTCAAGCTGCTTAGATGGTTATAATTTAAATAAAAATGTTATACTTGGATGTTAGCAAATTTAATATTTAATGCCTGAAGGGTCTATTAAATTTATATTCTGTTAAACCATTTATTAGAAAATATTTATTAATCGAAAGTTAAATTTAGTATATTTTTTGTGTGGAATTTTCTGACCGACCCTTATCAGAACTAAGCATGATATCCATTTTCACTTCTATATTGTGGTTGTATTTTTTTCATTTGCAATATTAAAGGCACTTGGGAGTATTGTTTCATTATAAATTCTGTGACAGTCTAAACTTCATTTCACACAAATAACAAACATTTAAATCTTCATAATTTGTTAAAATATGAAACTTAAAAATAGTTTTGCATATGCACATGCGGCCATCATTCAGTAAAAGTTCGTTTTATAATTTGATCGTTACTGATCATTTTTGATCTGTCAGGGCCTGTACAATACAGAAATGTGTCTGACCAAAAATGATCAGTAACGACCAAATTACAGGTTCATAACTCTGCAAAACTCACAAAAATTAAGTTTTTAAATTAAATTAAACATCAGTTATTTAAATTAACATTGATGAACTTGATTGCATTAATTTTCAATGAAAACGTCCCAATATACTTTTTTTTTTTTTTTCAATTAAAACCAAATTCATCATTGTAACAGGTTGGCAGTTTATGCACATGCAATAACTTGATCACAGCTTTTTAATATTTTTTATTCTTCAATGATTTCATTTTAAGGCAATCCTATTTGATTTATTTCATTCGAGTCAATCATGCATGATATGATTGCGGATGAAAAAGACACCTTTATCTGTACAAATCATGGTTTGTTAAGTCTCATTTAGAAAAACGTGAGAATGACAGTACAAAATAATGGAACAGCAAATTGTAAAAATTTTGTTTAATGAAATTTCATTATAAAAATAATATAGTTTATCTTTCGGCTGTTATCTTTTGTGTTCTTTGCTGTGCCTTCGTTGTTATCTTTCCTCTGGATGCTATTGATTTTCTATGACAATCGCATATTTATTTATTTCAGATTCTATTGACAAATCTGAAGGGTCGTCCTTAGAGAAGAAAAGGCTCCGGTGAGGTTTGGCTTAGAGCACAGTTGTGCTGGGGGGGATGACAAACCAAAGAGATGCGAAAATCCTGTATGCTCAATGTAATCGTTTCCATTGTAAAATGTACGGAATTAGATATAAGCATTTTCTATAACAGTGTCTTTCCTTAACCAGATATATTTATTTTTTATAATTGTATATTATACCACTAGAATAGATTTTTCTACTTAGGTATGTTACCTTTAAAGACAAAATTTGCATATTTAAGGCTTTTGAACAATGAATTTTGTGTCTTTTTTTTATAACAAACTACTTTCTATGTTTCTCAATGTAACAAGAAATGCCTGCTGTTTGTTTACGGACATCTTATGTTCTATGACTAGCATTTGAAAAAACACCAATACAAATATTTCAACAGTATTAAGGCAGTAAATATGAATAAATAAGAATATTGTTTGTGTTAATGATATAATGAGAATATAACTTATTTACTCAGTTGTGTTACCATAAATACATAAATTTTATTCTGCCATTGATAATTGATTTTTTAATCCTTTGATGTATTAAAATATTAAATACAAGAATTATTATGACTTCTTTTTATTTATAGTGGAATGTTTGTAAAAAACAAACCATTCTGGCACATTTTTTCCAAAGTCACGTAGTCTGCCAAAAATTGGGTAATGTTGTTTTAATGTTAGTCCTTTTAGTCTAGTTAGGTTCCATGTGCATGACCGTCACCTGTTCAGAAATAGTCCAAGGTACAGTATCTTCATAAGAAGAAGGATGTGATCAGAAAAAAGGTAAAAAGGAAGTAGTGTGATTCATTGAAAATGTTTTATATTTGCTTTTGGTCTCTCCTACTTTTATCTTCTCTCACTTTTCCAGCAAGGACGGAATCATAATACTGGGAAAGGAAAACAGTATCATTGACAAATGTAGTACAACTACTGAAGAATATGAAGGGATATGGGTGTAAATTTAGTAGAGAGTAGGACCTAGAATATTACTTTGAGGGACACTAGCAGTATCTGGGGGGGGGGGACATCTTTTCTAACTTAATCTTAAGGTTGATGAGTGTAAAACAATAAGAAGCGTAGCATTTTTAACCTAAAGGATTTAATGTTTATTTAGGAACGGATGCAGGAATGATGAGCAATTTGAAGCAAGCAGATTGGGAGTCTAAGAAAAGTGAAAACATTGTGATACAGTAAGAGAATAAAGGAATTATTAGGGATTTAATAAGAACTCTAGTTTTCTTTGATATAAATTTTTTTTTTGGAAATTAAATAAGGACTGGAATTTGTTTGGATTTAAAAGAATGTGGTTATTATATGACTGATTGTTTGCTTCAGAGATGTTGCTTGCAGGACATTGAATATAAAGTTGAGTGTCATCAACATATAGATGAAATTTGGAAAAATGAAGAATGGAAGATCATTTAGGAAATGTAAAAGAGTAAGGGTCCAAGAATACAACCTTGGGGATATATCATAGGATCATGTTTTGTCTTGATCACTTTAGACGTGCTGAACTACGGACTGGGCAGGCGAATAAGGCCGAGTTGAGGGGAACCACCCACCAGGTAATACCACCTGCATTCAACATTGCATTTTATTTATCCTAGAGCAGCCGATCTTTCAGAGGGATGTGCACGCCACTGCTATCATCCACATGCCTCCCAGATAAGGGGTCGTAGTGCTGATCCCCAGGAGTGGATATCAAAACCCACTGAGCCTGCAACCCAGCTATCTGCTATGAAATGATCTGTTATATATTGTCAGGACAACAACTATTGGTTAATTATTGCTCGTTTTAATATTGCCATTTTTTATCCCATTTTATTTTTATTTTTATTCGTTATTTATTTTTTTGTCCTATTCCATTTTTTCATCATCTTGCACTCTATATTCTTCCACAAGAATGCTGCTAATTGGCTTGGAGATTATATCTTCTTTGTTGTATTTTAGGCAATTAGTCAAGAGACGTTATGCTGTAACCAATTCACTGCAGCAATCGCATAATGGAGCTGGTTCTCTGCGTATAAGGTACCCATGGGTAAGTGTACTATGCCCTACTCTCAGTCGTGTCAGAACAGTCTCTTCGAGCCTTGAGTCGCGCGCTGAAGAGCCTCGGGGGCAACATCTGGTTTTATTTTTATTGTCCTTCATTTCTTTCCATTCTTCCTGCCACTTCTGCCAGGATATTTGTTTAAGATGATGGGTTAGAAATTTTTTTTTTTCATAATAGGCATTTATTTTGTTAGACACGTTTCGGTCTAATATAGACCATCTTCAGTGACTTTTTTATATAAAGTGGTTTGTCTGTTATTTACATTGTAATAAATTAAAAAGTGGATGTCTGAATGACTATGTACTTGGCGGGTAGTTCAAGTAACCCATTTTTGACAGACTGCTATGTAAAAATCGTCAAACCACTTGACCACCAACAAGATAAATACCTGTAGTGGAAAAGATAATTTATTTCCAACCCATCGTCTTATTGTAGAGTACAATGCAAGTACACAAAATCATGATGGACATAATCAAAAGATATTTGGTTAAATAAAATCTCAAATGCTTTTGATAATGAAGGAAGAATACTAATAGGGTGGCAGTCACTAGCAAGAATGGGTTTCTTGGGTAAAGCAACTATTGGGGATTAGGGCAGTAATTAATATGGTCATTGCAGACAGTAAAGTTTAATTTGTTGTCGAAAATAACACCAACGACTTTAGTCAACAATTTTAGAAGAAAGATAACTTAAAAAATAAAAATAATTTTCTTTTTGTGATAATTTGTTTGAATTTAGAAGTTGAAAATTTCTTATTTTTTTGGAATATTTTCATTGACAATATGTTCCAATTTTCCCAATTTATAAATTTTCAAAGTAGAAAATTGTACAAATCAGTTGATTTGTCAAATTAATTTCCAGTTGAAATTTCACGTCAGTTCGTCAGAACCCTTTCAGAAAGTCCAAAACGAATGTAAAGTTCCAAATAAATCATATCAGGGATCGACCAGGATCATGAGCGAAACGGCATAGGTGGAAGGGGCAAGCGTCGGCTTTGGAAAAATCGTAAAAAGGCGGCTAACGAGAAGGCTGACACGCTCGTGTAAAATGAATTGAAGGTTCCTTTCGATGGAGCACTGTTAGTTATTCACAGATGTTTCGATTGGTTCGTCCACGGCTTTACACGCCTTCGCCTTCTTTGGGGCCGATCGTAGGTCCGAGGATGTTCAGGCACACGGCAAAAATACCATTTAGCCTGGCCAGGAAGGTGAGTAAGGGGCATTTTTACCTTTTCAAAACCGACCCCGGCGAAATTACGAAAAAAACCTGATTATTTTTATTTTCGATTTTCTAAATTTAGACCGGCGGCAAAGTTGATTCTTTTTGACCTGGCTCGTTTTCCGGACGGAACGACTTTTCGCCGCGGGCGATTTTGCCGCCGGGGCCGATTTTTGGCCGTTTTCAAACGGCTGGAAAATCATAAATTTATTGTTTTGTTTGGTACAGGTTATGATCCCGGTTTCGTCCACGTTATCTCTTATCATTCCCAACCAGTGTTTTTTTCATACTAAAAACTACCCCCTTTTGACTAAAAATCATAATAAAATAGTTTTAAAAAACATTTTGACGTTTGCGACCAATCATTTAACAAGTTTTTAAAATTTCCTTTAAAAACATGTCAATTGATTCACACTGGCCCAATTTATATTTTTTTCCTAGAAACGATAGTGGTCGTATATAATAATAATAATAAATCTCTATTGTTGATATATCATATATAAGCATGTTAATTGCAACTAAGTATATTTTTCTATCGGGCTTTTGTCTTGGTTGTAGACTTGTCTGTCAATGGGGTCGCACACTTTATACAAACTTTCTCTTATTTTTTGTATAAACGCAATAGAAATACGATGAATTATTGATTATTTAGCTCCATTTATTTTTGAAATTTTTATTATCAAAATGTTGCAAAGTTTTTATTTTATATATTCGTTACAGTTCGTGGTCCGATTGACCAATTAACTTTTTTCAATTAATTAATATTTATGAAAGGTATTGGTTGAGATATTATATATACATTATTACATTTTTCTCTATCCGGTTTTTTCTTTAGTTGTACGTGTGACTGTCAAAGGGGTCACCCACTACATACAAACTTTGTCATCTTTTTTTGTACAAACTATCAAAAGCTTGCAATATGATAGAATATTGATAATATTGGTCATTTAGCTCCACTTTTTATATTTTTATTATGAAGATATTGCAGTTTTTATTGTATCGGTTCATTTTCTCTACCTAGCTTTTGCCTTAGTTGTACGTTGGACTGTCAAAGGGGTCGCACACTTTATATAAACTTTCTCATATTTTCTGTATAAACAAGCAATAGAAATTTGATGAATTATTGATTATTTAGCTCCATTTACTTTTTTAGTTTTTTTAAATCAAAATGTTGCAAAGTTTTTATTTTATATATTCGTTACAGTTCGTGGTCTGATTGAACAATTAACTTTTTCAATTAATTAATATTTATGAAAGGTATTGGTTGAGATATTATATATATATTGTTACATTTTTCTCTACCTGGCTTTTGCCTTAGTTGTACGTGCGACTGTCAAAGGGGTCGCACACTTTATACTAACTTTCTTATATTTTTTCTACAAACTGTCATAACTTTGCAATACGATAGAATATTGATAATATTGATCATTTACGTCCACTTACTTTTTATATATATTGCTAGTTTTTTAGCTAGATAGTACATAGTTTTATTGTATCAGTTCATTTTCTCTACCTCGCTTTTGCCTTAGTTGTACGTGCGACTGTAAAAGGGGTCGCACACTTTATACAAACTTTCTCATATTTTTTGTATAACCAAGCAATAGCAATACAATAGAATATTGTGTGCGGATGATCAGGTATTAGGTCACTGAAACATAGAAACTCCCAACTTCATACCAAGCTTTCGTTTAATTTGAAAACAACTCCAGGGCTGAGGTAATTTACAATTTTTTTTTAGGTACATATGTAGATGTTTATAAATCCTTGATAACAAATAAATAACATATAAATTTTTTTTCACCAATGTGGTTAATTTAAGAAAATGATAGATTATTGATTATTTAGCTCCTTTTACATTTTTATTATGAAGATATTGCATATTTTATATTGTATTAGTACATTTTTCTCTATCTGGCTTTTGCCTTAGTTGTACATGTGACTGTAAAACGGGTCGCACACTTTATACAACTTTATGTCATGTTTTGTAAACAGCTAAAAAAATAGATAGAATAATGATTAAGAAATCGTGAGATGCAGACTGGTGTGATGTAGGTTTCAGAAAAACATTTTCTTTATCGTGCCAACGTTTCGATCTTTATTGAGATCATCTTCAGGGCTCAAATTGTTTGTCTTCTGTGTAATTGTGCCATTCTTGTGTGTCGTGTTGAGAGTGCCCTAATCACCACACAAATAGGTAGAATGTTGATTATTTAGCTCCAATTACTTTTTTACTTTGGTATTGTTCATGTGTCTCAACTTTATTATATGTTTGTTTAAACAAACAAAAGCATTGCAATAGAAAATTGTTTATTTATCTGCACTTATGTCTTTATTTTTATTATCGAAATTAGTTTATTTTTCTCTGCCTGGTTTTTGCCCTTATTGCCCTTGTGACAAAGGGGTTGCATATTTTTTGTTTAAACGAACAATTACAATTATCAAAATATGGAATAATGTAAATGTTATTAATCTACAGTTAGTAAAAAAAAGTGTGTTTACAGTTTCAGTACATGAGTTGTTTAAATATATATATTATATCTCAACCAAGACATTGCATGGAAAGAATAATTATTTGAAAGATGTAACTTGATCAATTGACCGCTAAAGCATAAATGAATAAAAATAATTTTTACATAATATTAAACAATATATTTATATCGAATTTACATGCAAAACCTTTTTTTTTAAATTGTCTCTAAAGCATAAATAATAACAATTAGATCCCGGATTTGTATCCAATAAAAATCCTCAAATATGCAATGTTATATGCATTACAATTAATTAAGGTTTTTAGCTGAGATAAAAAAGTCAATGGCACGAGCGGGATTCGAACCCACGATCTTTGGCTTGATACGTCGCTGCTCTACCACTAGGTATCTATGAGGTCACGATAGCTCAATTGGTAGAGCAGCTGCGTATCAAGCTGAAGATAGTGGGTTCGAATCCCACTCATGCCATTGACTTTTTTATCTCAACTAAAAACCTTAATTAATTGTAATATATTAATTGGTCAAGCCGACCACGAAATTAGTGAAGTTATATGCATTAATAACCCTTATATATGCCACATAATTTGCACTAAAATAATAAAATACACAGGTTGAATGGTGTAGACACTAATAATTAATTTATCTTTTTTAACCTAGACATATTATTTTTGGTCTAGTACATATTCATTTTGATAGGAAATATAATTGAAGCATTTCGGTCGAAAAAAAATCATATCATTTAAAGTATTATACAAAATAAATGATCAAGTTTAATTAATATCATGATCTTAATTAAATTGAAGATATACATTGCAATGTTAGTTTCTATAAAACTACAGCTTTTATCACTCAAAAAATATTTGTACATAGAAAAAACACTTTCTGACATCAAAAGAGGTGAAGGCTGCATGCGTATAGGAACTTAAAATGATTGGATCATTGGTTCCCTGTAAATTTAATTGTTTCTATTTAAGATTTCATTAATTTACCCCGCTTAGTCAATCTGAATTTTTGCCAAGAATGTTTTTCGATTTATTTTGTAATATAATTTACATCTCTGGGGATTCTGTTTTTCTTTGAAAGGAAAAATGCAGCCTGCTATTTTAGAAGATGTTGATGTTCCCACTTTTGACATTTTTAGGTTTACTAGATTGAAGATATCAATGAGTACTGACTATGTTTGTATGTCAAAAGAGGCACCTATTTCTTCTACAACCGGTCTATTTAAAAAACAACACTTTTTCAGGAAAGGCAAAAATTGGGCCTAGAGTTTTGGAAATAAGGGCCTGAAAAAATGCCAATTATTTCAAAAGAATTTTATCAGTTTGTGTACACCCTCGTTCCTGGCAAGTTAATTGAAATCTGAATGCAATTTGAGGCTCTTGTCTTCCTCTCTTGTTCTTAGTTGATTATTTATTTATTTTTATTTTTCTCAGTATCAAAAATGTTTCAAATTTGTGATATTTTTGAATATGCACCTTTGTGCAATGTTCTTCAAATATGCAAAATATGCAGAATGCAATTTGAACCACTATACCATGGAGGTATGATTCGGATAAATATCTGATCACCATGGTCATCAGTGTTAGTAAAAAGAATATACAATTGCATACAAATCTCGGCTCCATTAACAAAACTCATAACAAAAAAGTATGCATAAAATGTTAAACTTACAACAAAATTATGTATGTATGTAAAATTAATAATCAGCAGGGCCCCTTTATTTTTGAGCAATTCACGGACTCATTTTCTTCTTTGACAGCTTCAGTCAGGTGATGTTCATTTTTTATGCTGCAAGTTTTCAATTTTCTCTTCATTTCTTCATGAATGTTCAATGTGGTTTAGATCTGGTAATTGTGGGGGTGGTTTTAGGTGGCAGGGAGTATTGTACAATAACTACCCCTTCATTTTCTTTGCTTGACATTTCATGCCATTATTTTATTGAAAAATGAAATTAGCAAGAAGTACAAGTTTCTGGGCACTGAGCTTTAAATTTTCAGTAAGGATGTCTATATGAACATATTGGTTCATTATCTACTCAATAATTTTTAATTACTAACCCCTGATGATGCCCATTATCCTTCTCCTGCTATGTTTCACCATCACACACATGTTTTATATTTTCATAGTGGCATGTTTTTGCCACACTATCATTCTCATCAGAACAGAAAACATTAAATTTTGACTCATCGCTAAAAATTACACTGTCCCAAAAAATATACAATTTTGCAAATTTACCTCTCTTTTTTCTATTAACTTTTCTGATGTAGGGCTTTTTACAGGCAGATCATGATAACACTAACCCTACCTAACCTAATCTCATATGTCCCTAACCTTAATCCTCCTTAACCTCATCTCACCTGTCCTTGCACATGTAGATGTAGATGTAATATTTCAGGGTATGGTATACTGCGCCCTTTAAGAGCTATTGTATCTCCTGTGCTCTGCCTAAAGCACATCGGTGAGTCCTATTTCATCAAGAAACTTGATTAATAGGCCCGGTTTCAGTGGTTGTAGTTCTTCTATGGTCACATTGTACAGTCCTTGTACATAGAATATTTACAAATTTCCTTGAACAGAAATAAAATGCTTTGTACTTGCATATTTACTTTGCTTAATATACAAGAATGTAATGATAAATAATTATGTAACCAACCCTACCTAACCTAATCTTACCCATTCCAAACCATAACACTAACTCTACCTAACCTAATCTCATATGTCTCTAACCTTAATCCTCTTAACCTCATCTCACCTGTCCTTGTAAATAGAATATTTACAAATTTGCCTTGAACAGAAATAAAATGCTTTGTACTTGTATATTTTCTTTGCTTAATATACAAAAATGTAATGATAAATAACTATGTAACCAACCCTACCTAACCTAATCTTACCCATTCCAAACCATAACACTAACCCTACCTAACCTAATCTCATATGTCCCTAACCTTAACCCTACTTAACCTCATCTCACCCGTCCTTGTACTTAGAAATTACAAAAATTCCTATTTAAATTACATACTTTACAAATTTGCCTTGAAGAGAAACAAAATGCTTTGTACTTGCTTATTTTTTCTGCTTAACGGAAAAAAATTGTATCATGGATATATGGCTATGTAACTAACCCTACCTAACCTAATCTTACCCACCCCAAACCATAACACTAACCGTAATTATGCTAATTTCTTTGTCCCTAATATTAATCCTACCTTACCTAATCTCACCCATCCCTAAACCCTTCATAACATAATCTTACCCATCCCTTACCCTACATAAATTAACCTATTTGCCTAATGTAACCTATCTCATGTATATCTTCTGGTAACGGGAAATCGTTGATATGAAAATGATTATGCAAAAATATTTATATATCGAGTCCAAAAACATTCATGTTAAAAATAAAACTTTATAATAATATTTAATGCTTAGATAAAATTTAGTAAATTCATTTTGTTGAATCATATTTTTACAATTATTTTTCAGCTACAACAGGTACAACTACAACAAAATGTTGGTACACTTAGGTTTTACAGAACATCGTCACATATGAGATCAAAAGAACCTGGGATGAAAGAATGTCCAAAGGAGTGAGTTCATTAGATAGCATTATTATATATGATTATAAAGTAACATTGTACAATAAGAAATCTGATATTCATGTAATTTATTTAGTGGGTCTGGGAGAGCATTTTATTACACATTGGGGAGCATTGTTCTTGGTACTGGAGTCGTAATAGCTTATGCTAAATATGACGATGAATTTCGACAATGGCTGAAACAAAACGTTCCCGGTTTTGATGAATTCATAAAATTTATCATGGCCGAGGAAACGACACATGTTGATTACGCAGTTCAACGCTTCATTGCATTGAAAGACGAGTAAGAAAACAAAATTTGTGTATATTGTTTATAAATTTTAATTTTAATCGTTTGTCTTGTTATCAGAGTCATCAGAGATTTGGCTCAGCTAATTGGCTCCAAGACTCAGGAAGAGAAAAAAATCCCTGCTGCAATAGCTGATAAGAAAGATGACGGAGAGAAAAAAAAGAAAAAATATATACGTAAGTCTTCCGAATTACCTGGGATTATTTTAAAAAAATATTTTTAAAACCGTTTCGAGTAATAATAATTATTTACAGCTCCCTCATCAGCTTTTGTTGCCAATACAAGTGAGGAAAAAGAGAAAAAATTTGATGAAAAAAGAACTTCAAAGATTGTGGGAAAAGATGAAGAAATTTCAACCGGTGTGTAGTACCGTTTTATTTATATTTTTAATCCAAATTTTGAATTGCATACATTAGTTTCTTTTTGGCTTTTTATTATAAAAGTATCTTAAATTTTTCAGATCCTGGTAGAAGTAGATCGAAGGAAGCCAGGGGAGATATTGACCCAAAAAGTCTTGTTGAACTTGAAGCCATGACAAACATAGCAGCTTCAGAAGCTGTTGAAGCTTATGGAAATGCTATTTGTTTTTTCCGAGGTATACATTTATTTCAGGATTATTTATAAAATAATAAATTTGTATGATTAATTGTAAACTGATTTCTTCAGATCACATCGAAGAGGTCGTTAAAGTTGTGGAGGAATCGGTAGACAAAAATGATCCTAAAGTTTGGAAAGCGTTAAAGCAAAAGGGCCAGGACAGGGAAAAAGCTGTTAAAGAAGCAGAAGAAGCTGCTAAAAAAGCTATGTGAGTATTCCATATTTTTAAACAAATCAAATCGTAAACTCTTAATATTTTATATTTTAGGAAAAACATTAACACTTTGAAGAAACGCATTGATGACCCGGATTTACCTGGTGGGGCTGAAATGCGGACCAAAGCAAAGAAAAACATGGACAGAGTCTCAGCTCAAATTGAATTGGCGAAGTCAAATTATGAAAAGGAGAAAAATTCTGCCACAGTTTCAGATGCTTACTGGAAGAAAGTTTACCAAGCACGATCGCATTTTGCTGTATGTTTATTTAGTTTATTTTTATTTAGGAAAACGAATTAATGATTATTTCAATTTAAAGGATTTTTTGTACATAATATATTACAAATTAGATTTTTTCACTCATCATTTATATTGTACAATTTCTGTAGATTAAAAAAATTATGCTAACTGTCATAATTAATGCAGTTTTTTAAAAATAATTTTCTTTTTTGATGCTAGGACGAGCTTGAGACTTTATTCCCCAATGTCTGTATAATGGATAGAAACATGAAACTGAGTGGAGGTGAATTTGATCTGTTCATACTGTATGCCTATCAAAACATCCTTTACTACCAGAAGGAATTGAACAAACTCGATGTTAGTATCTATCGAATCACTGTTTGTTGTGTAAATGGTTTTTCTTTTTAATATTTACATCCACCTTTGTAGACTGTTAGCCAATTGAAGCTAAAATCGGCCCTGGAAAAGAGTAAACTTGGCGATCCCGAGGCCATCGACGCGGCAATTGAGGTCGAATTGGAGAAAGAAAAACGGAAAATCTGCCAGGAATACCAAAAGAGAGTGAGTAAAGCAGTAAATATTGACTGCATCCTTATTGTAATTAAAAAAAAAATTATGTTCTCTTTTAAGGCTGCTCAATTTTGATCATTTATTAATCTCGTTTTAATTTCTCTACTGCTTTGTCCTATATATTTAATGTCACAATCATTACAGTTAAGTTACAATTAAGTTAATGGATATCAAGAAATATTTATTGATAGGTTGCTAGTTAAAAGAATAAAAAAAATTACTATAAAAGAAGCAACAATTGGACTCAGCCACCCTACCAAAAATGAATCATTAGGATTCCGTTGTTTGCCATACATTGGTGAATTATCAGAAAAAAAGTATGTAAAATTCTTAAACAAGATGGTTTTAGAACAGCTTTTAGAGGTGTTCACATGGAAACATCCTCTCAAAACCTAAAGACAAGGTTGACAACTTGTCAAAAAGCAGGGTTACCAACTTAATTGTAATGATATAAAAATATATAAAGTGGTAGAGAAATTAAAGCTAGAGTTAAAGAACACTTACTTAAATCCAACAAATTTTCCGAATTTAAGGACCATCTAAAAGAAACAAAACACAATTTAAATTTAAATACAACAGTTTCAACAAAGGTTACATAGGTTCAGCAACTAGATTGGTTTGAGTAATTTGAAATTAAAAAATGTAAAATTGAACATGGAGATAAATGCATTAGTAATATATTTTGATTTACCTCCTATTTTAAATATGTACTTAAATAATATTAAATTCACTAATTTTGTGGTCCGCTTGACCAATTAATATATTACAATTAATTAAGGTTTTTAGTTGTGATAAAAAAGTCAATGGCATGAGCGGGATTCGAACCCACGATCTTCAGCTAGATACGCCGCTGTTCTACCACTTGAGCTATCGTGACCTCGATCCACTCGGACACCAATTCCTATCTCAACCCCACCTTTTGAGTTTTCCCTCTTTTTAATCGATAGCTCAAGTGGTAGAGCAGCGGTGTATCTAGCCGAAGATCGTGGGTTCGAATCCCGCTCGTACCATTGACTTTTTTATCTCAACTAAAAACCTTAATTAATTGTAATGTATTAATTGGTCAAGTGGACCACGAAATTAGTGAATTTAATGATTTAAAAATGAAGTATACTTCACTAAAGCTCTCCGTGGCCATTTCATTTGTCGTCGAGAATCCAATCCGATTACACGACATTTGAAAAATGGCAATAAGGAGGGAAAATTCAAAAAGGTGGGGTTGAGATGTGAAGTTAGTGCCTGAGTGGATTGAGGCCATGATAGCTCAAGTGGGAGAGCAGCGGCGTATCTAGCCGAAGATCGTGGGTTCGAATCCCGCTCGTGCCATGGACTTTTTTATCTCAACTAAAAACCTTAATTAATTTTAATTAATAACATCATTACAGCAAAGTTTTTCATTATTTTGCTATTGAGGAAAAGATTAGACGAAAAACCCCAGCTATCATGGTCAAACTATAGGAGGATGTTCTTTATTCTTCTGCATAACTAATGATCACCCAAACTATAATTACTTATTTGGCAGAATATTGAGCTTGTGCTAGCCTAGCGTTGCTTAAAATATTTAATGATTACATCTTTGATGTATTGTAGCATCGTTGACATGTTTGTAGCGGTGTTTAGTTCCAATGCTTGTATCTGTCATAAGTTTCAGAAACTTGTTCTGTACAACCTGCAATCTTGCAATATTAGTCCTGCGTGTGAGACTCTAGGAGCCTGACCAATAGTTGGTGAAAAACAGGACTGATGAAAAAGGGGAGGAAAAAATACGCGGCTAGCCGCTTTGTACTTTTTCCTCTGTCATTTATATTATGAGAAAAAGTGAGCTTACAGTCCATTATTCCTAAAATATTTGACACACTTGGACGTCAACAGTCACGTATTTAATTTGAATTTTTTGTACAGTGACGGTCTACAGTTGCTAAGAACGATTGCTTTCATTTTATTATAATTTTCCAACTTTTCAGAAACTTCCTATGCAGGGTATTGCATTATTTAACCTGTTCGATGTTATCTATTTTCCAATAGGAAGTGTAGAAAGCGATATCATCAGCATAAAAAGTCATTGGGACATTCGTTGGGTGAGGAGGTTTATTGTGTTAAAGTATATTTAACAGAATGGGTCCAAGGATAGCACCTTGAGGAACAACAAGTTAAAGTTTTATTTATGTATCTTTCTTTACAGCACTTTATTTTGAAAATTATTCATAAATCGTGAGATGCGGTCTGGTGTGATGTAGGTTTCAGAAAAACATTTTCTTTATCGTGCCAACGTTTCGATCTTTATTGAGATCATCTTCAGGGCCTGGGATTTACAAACATTGTTTACATTTAACAAATACATTTAGGATGTGGAAAAGTGAATTTATACAATGCAAAATATATTTTTTATATTCAATCAAAGTATTTCTACTCACTCAAAGTGTTTGTCTTCTGTGAAATTGTGCCATTCTTGCGTGTCGTGTTGAGAGTGCCAAGTGAGATTTTGCTGTTTTATGTTAATATACGTTTGATTTTGAAGGGGTGAGGAAGGAAGCCGATATAGAAAAGACATTTTTGTACAAGGCGTCGGCTTCTTTGAGGTGAAAGAAATACAAAAATGTCTTTTCTATACCGACTTCCTTCCCCACCCCTTCAAAATCCAACGTATATTAACATAAAACAGCAAAATCTCACTGGCACTCTCAACACGACACGCAAGAATGGCACAATTACACAGAAGACAAATACTTTGAGTGAGTAGAAATACTTTGATTGAAAATATAAAATATATTTTTCATTGTATAAATTCACTTTTCCAAATACTAAATGTACTTGTTAAATGTAAACAATGGTTGTAAATCCCAGGCCCTGAAGATGATCTCAATAAAGATCGAAACGTTGGCATGATAAAGAAAATGTTTTTTTGAAACCTACATCACACCAGACCGTATCTCACGATTTATGAATAATTATCGATTAACGGTCACTAATCACCACACATTTATTTTGAAAGTGAACTCTTAAATCTTAGGTTGCAAAAGGCAAAAATTGATACTGGTTACTTTTAATATTTTTAATTAATTACGATTTTTTGCGAAAATAAGGGAAAAGAATGCATTTTTGTATGGTTATGTCCTGTAAACGTCCAATGTATATTTTACATTGATTAAGAAACTAGAGAATGCCAAGTGGATTCTTTATTTAAGAAGATAAGAGGAAATCAAATGTAAATGCATTAACCAGTTAAGGGCAAGATATCACAGAAAGGAAAGATTTGGAAGGATTGGATGGAAATCCTTTAGTATGAACTCTCTGAGAATGAACAGATCAATTCCATCAATAACTTTCTTCCAACTTCACTTTGCCATTATCAAAGAAAAGTAAAAAAGAAACAAAAAGTTTAAAAGCTTGATGGTGTTTACAACAAAAATTTATAGAAGAAAAACCCAAATTACAATATCCATCCATTAACATAATCAGTTATGTGAATGATACTTAATTGTATATACTATATAAACAGTGTGGAAATATTGCAAGTAACAGTTTGTTTTGGATCAAATCCATTGTAAAAAATAGTGTAAAAGTACGCTAGTTTAATGTTTAACACTATTTACAACTTTATGCCAAAACGACACCGCGCATTTCCTTGAATATTTATCGAACAACAAATAAAAACGTCCTGATGGAAGCACAAGGCTTCTCGATTGGTACCCATTGTGAATAATCAAACCTGCACGGTTCGTTGGATTTTATTGAAGAGGATTTAATTATATGGTCCTCTCCTCGTTTATTTCATTCTTGAAGAGTATCGAACGTTGTAGACGGTCGCATATGTTTCGATTTTATCTTTAGTTCTGGTTTATTATTGTGACATTAGTCAGTGGATTGGATTAGTTCTTGGGTACACTGGAACTTGAGGGCGAACTGTTAATACATATACGATAACCGTGTTTTATTTCTTGGTTTTTGCCATTTCTTTGAATTTCAACACATCCTTGATTCTTGTTTTTACGAATTTAAATTTTTCTTGAAAATCTCTGATGTCACCGGATGATTTTGGTGTACGGCTGTGCCATATTATTTCTTAACGAGTAATGTTTTTATAATCAAACATAAAAGATTTGTGTTATCTTTGGCGTTGAATAATCACTATTAACATTAATTGATGGTACCGATGCCAGCATTGTTTTTACGACTGAGAGCTGCTTGTGGTTGTTCGGATTGACCAATTAAACCTTAGACTGTATTTTACGACTACTGAAAGCAATTTAGTTTTATGCGTGGAATTAATTTATTCGGATTTTAGATTAGTACAACCCACCATTCGGCCGAAATTCCGGTTCAAACCAGATGCGATTTGTCAGTACAAAAACTCGTGTGCATGTCACCCTTCGAAACAGTGTTAAATGACGTGTCTCGTATTCTTTCCTACCCAAAGACAAATGAGAACAATTAAAACTCGATGCAGTGTTATTCGTTTTACCAAAGCTTTGATTGTAAATTTGTTGTTTTACTATTAGCAAAACCGTTATATATTAATTGCATTTTTTTAAACGTTTTCCAGTACCGCAAGGAAGAGAGGTTCATTTTTCCGATTGGTCGTAGTTTGAGAAAAAAGCTCTCGGGGTCGTCCGTTGTAATACTGATACAAAATCAAATCGATTCCTGTGCATTGGTCTGAATTGTTTTCAAATTGGCCCATTCCAATGCGACCCTTTACTCGAAGGCGATGGGAATCGGAAAATTCGTTTTGTCCTAATTTTCTACTTACCGCGAGTGTTTTTCATTGGAGATATTCACTAGTAAACACGAAGAACAAGAAAATGCGAGGGTTGATTTAAAATTTTGACATAGCAACTAGCAACCTGAAAATATTTCTTTATTGAAACACCCACCNCACACACACACACACACACACACACACACACACACACACACACACACACACACACACACACACACAAAGTAAATTAATAGCTTAGTGGGATGTTAGAAGTGTTGTGTTGTCCTTGCATTTATGAAAACTTTACCCGAATTGACATGGTTTGGTTATTTCGATCATTGTGGTTTGTTTATCCTCGTTGTTTTGTTCGGTTTGACGTGTTATGGATTAATAACTTCCAATATACCAATAGGGAGAATTAGGAGACACTTTGTCATTAAGTTATATTTATCAATTTGTCATGAAAGAAATACAGGTTCATTAAAATATGATAATTATAGGATTTTTCCGTCAAATTAACCATTTTTAATTCGAATTGATCCCCTTTTAATTTAACTGAACCCTTTTCTCTATTTATTTAGAAATCGTGAGATGGGGTCTGGTGTGATCTAGGTTTCAGAAAAACATTTTCTTTATCGCGCCAACGTTTCGATCTTTATTGAGATCATCTTCAGGGCTCAATAAAGATCGAAACGTTGGCACGATAAAGAAAATGTTTTTCTGAAATCTACATCACACCACATCGCATCTCACGATTTCTGAATAATTATCGATTAACGGTCACTAATCACCACTCCTTTTCTATATGATGCCGTGATTTGTTTACAATTGGAATAAAACGGGGAGTCGAAATGAGAAGTTTGTGGCATGGGCGATCGAAGTCACGGTAGATCAAGTGGTAGAGCAGCGGCGTATCTAGCCGAAAGTTGTTGGTTCGAATCCCGTCTGTGACACAAATTTTTTATTTCGAAAAAAAATTGTGTAATTAATTGTGAACCCTTTTTAATTTTAAATTTTTTACTTGGCCCTTTTTAAATTTCAATTTAGCACTTTTTAATTGCAATTAAACCTTTATTTAAAACATAAAAAAAACCTAGGAGATAGTATGAAATGTAAGCAGCAAAACGCGTTTGACCAAAGGGCACACCAATATGATCGGAATCAGTCAAATTACAAGAATGTTAGAAGTTAGAAGTTGTTGATAAACCTAAAATAATCATCTACCTATTTTAGCTGGGTGTGCTGTGTTTTCCTTGCGTTTAAGAATACTTTATCCAATTTGATACGGCTCAGTAGTTTCTGATCATTTTGGTTTGTTTGCCCTCGCTGTTTTGATCTGACGATACGTTTCGGCTTTTCAATGTGTTAGTGATGAATGGTCAAACTACTAAATCAAAATATGGTCAAACTACTGGTTCATAACCATTCCATATCTCAAGAAAAAAGGTCACAAGTTGATATTGCGCAGTTTTTCTATGTGTAAGTTATTGTAGATCGTTTTGCTATTTTTGACTTTTATTACAAGTCGTCATTTAAATGAGCCATGGCATGCCTATTATAATTGCACGTTTGCCTTTGCATGCACACGTATTTCATATCTTAATTTTATATTCGGTTGTTTCCCTGAATCTATGTTAGTTTAAAAGGTTTTTAATAGAAATGTTTACTTGGCAATTTATGTGACGAAGTTCAAAAGTTTTTCGCGAGTCAAGACCCCAGGCTTAATGAATATGCTTGCTGGCGTTAGCAGTTAAAACCTTTCTGGCCGGCCAACTTTAGTTTCGTGACCCTCGCCCACTCCGGATTTGGGAAAAGTATTTTCAAACATGCGTCCGGTGTTTCCCCTGGTGGGCAGTCCCAGGGACTGTTTTGCGACTTCATCTCAGTTTTGTAACTCTTTTCTCTTTTCTATCTGTTCAGGTGTTGACGATGAAGGCCGAATGCGAGAAAGACATGAGGAACCAGCTTCGCCTCCAAAACAACGCCGCGTCCGACCTTTTAGAAGAAGCCCTTGCGGCCAAAGAGATCGAAATAGAGAAAAAGATGAAGAGGGACATCGAGGATAAACTGGCCGAAGAAAAGGTCAAGTACCAAGAGGAAATGGCCGCGATGATCGGAAGGCTCAAAGGAATGGACGACGCTCTAAGAAGTGAGTTGACATTATTTTATACCTTAACATTTAAACTAGAAATTATTTTTCTTATTTATATTTGAAACTTTGTTTGTGTGCTACTAAAGAGGTGGAAGGTGAGGAATAAATTTATATATTGCATGTTACAAAGCTATCCAGAGAATTCCCGGAGTAATTTTACAAAAGCAATCTACCATAAAAGTTTGCAGATTCCCATTATCTTTAATCTTAATATTTCCTGCCTTCTGACAAAGGCTAATTGAAACAAACAACAGCATTTATTGTGTAAACTGTAACATGAAAATGGGAAATACTTTGACATATTTAAAACTATATTTTCGAGTAAAAAATGCGACATTTTACTCAAATTTACCTTCAACATTTTACAATTTACATAGTGTAAATTTTAGTACGGAAAAGTTTTTTTTAAATTCGTTAAAAAGTTGATAGCCGATTAGTAGTTGTACAGTTTATCATCGATTAATTATTTTCAAATTTAAAAGTACAAACATTTTGTGTAGTTATGTACGTTATATATATATATATNTTAGTATTTTACAAACTGCCGTAATGTTTTTTCGTTAGAAATCTATTTTCACGTGTTTTCGCTAAAAATATTAAATGATTAACCACTCATCTCTACTTGTCACATATTGCAGAGAGTATAGTTGAAATTCCATTATCAGCCCGTTGTTCCCTTGCCTCTCAAATATAAGGACAATCAATCTGTTGCTCTATTTCCTGTTATGGTGCCCAAGTTTATGGTTTTGATTCCTATGAAGTATTTGAGAAACTGAACTACATTTTTATATGACGTACAACACTTTACCTGCATTCTTAGAAACCACCCTTTAAATACTGTCTCAAAATGATATTTGCTTCCCTTCTGTTTACTGGCCCTAGAAATGATATAAAAAAAACCGTTTGGTTAAGCTGGCTCAACCTCTATATTACACTCTCCGTTTGATAGTTCACCTACATTATGGAAGGAAAATTGTTTTTCTGTTAACTAACCAGAGGTCAGTTAGTCTGGAAGAATCTGTCCCGTGTCGCTTCTTCTATCCATTTCTCTTTCTACCCTCATCTGAATCACGGTTTTAAAGTATCTGCGCAAGTGAATTGCTCCTGTCACAATAGTGATGGGCTTTCCAACTCCATTTCATGGATAGAGCGGGTGGTACTGTACAATGCCCCTAGTCTCTCCGTCTCTTCGAGCCAAATTCACTTTATCATCTAAATATTGTAGTTAACTTTTAGTTTACACCTATTTACTCATTTTGCCATGCATTTAATACTTTGTATTTATATTTTTTCTTCAGTACTTATTATTTACGTCTAGTTTGACCAATTAAAATTAAACCATCTTTTATTCTTTAAAATGGAAGTGAGTTGTTATTTTGTGTACGGCTTCATTATTTTGAATGTTTTACCATTATGATTAAGTTTTGATATGGATGGAAACCTTGCAATGCAAGTTTAGCATCAGCCATAATGATTATTTTGAACATCATTCCAGAAGTGCGCATTTGTTTTGCCCTTTCTCACGACCTTCTCAATATCTGCAAATGGACATCATGATCTTTGGATAAAGTACTACGTTCAAATGAGGTATTGATGTTGTTTGGCTTGTCCATAATACAGAATCAGCATTCTTAGCCGGTCTTTATTTTAAAACTGTCAATTTCCCGTTAATGGAAAACTAGATTTGCTTTTGATTTTGCCTCGCCGTAATGGGCACCCGTTGGATTATTTTCGATTAAAGTGTTAATGCGGTTTTTGTTTGCCTTCCGGAGCTTTATTTATTTTCAATCTTCTACTTTAAAACTCGTCAAACCACCTTTCAGATCATAATAAAATTGATTACCATTCAGCAAGAATGGAAAAACAATCAATAAAATATAATTAGTAATACGTAAACAAACAAGTTTACGATATCAGGCGAAAAGATTATTTTCGTAACTTCAACTTTCAAAGTTTGAATACCAACGAGTATAAACTTTTTTCAATATTCTGTAATTTTTTTGAGAATTTATTCCTTGGGTGCGAATTTCTCGAGTGGCTTTCGGTTGATCCTACGACCTCTATATCTTAACTGGAGCTCTTATTCGGCTCAAACTTTGGGATCTTATCAAACGCAAATTCCGACCCCCCGGCTTGAAAACTTTGCGATTGTTTGAAGGCCGAAAGTAGGGAGAGTATCAAGACAGAATCGCTTCTAACAATGGCATACAACTTGAGTTTCGAACGTTGTCAGCGTCTTGATTTAAGGCCTGTTGGTTATGTCGACGAATCAAAGCGTCTTTTTTCGGTTAGAAACAGTGAGCCATATATGAAATTGTCCTGGAAAATATGAGTTTTATCTGGTTGAAATAAATGTATTCATTTTATCTCCAGAAGAAGACATTTGTCTTTTTTGCCTGGGGAGTAAGTCAATTTAATCACAGATTCTTTACATTCGCCCACCCTTTTAACTCTGTTTGAACCCGCTCTTCATTCCGAAACTGGGTCATATTTGAATCACTGTGTGAAATGTGAGCCGGCTCTTTTAGCACGGGGACCCCAGTTGAATTTGTATACGGGATTATCCGTTTCTTCCATTGTCCGAAACTTTTTGTTTTCCATGGTCCTGGGGGCGTATACCTCGACCGTTGGACTGAGTCATTATTTTTTTTATAATGTAGCGGAACTGTATAAACTGACTTTTTCTGGAGTTGACACCTTACCATTTATTTGACCCTTGAAAGTCTGCTAGGGCAAAGAAAAGGCACAATTTCCACGTTTTTACGCTAGCATTTTTTGTAACAAAAGAACAATTTTCAGTATTTTCCGAATATTTAATGCTTCAAAGCAAACCCTAATTCAACAATAATACAAATGGACATAAAATATAATATAAATGATTAGTGATAATGTCTTAAAAAATGTTCCAAAGTTGTATTATTAGTTTGGACGAAACATGGAAGTTCTCTGCTTTTTTTTTTTTTTTTTTTGCCACATCCGTTAATTTTTAAAACCACATTTTCCAATTTTCTCTGTGGTTTTTAGACCTAACACTGTTTTGTAAAATAGTAAAATATAGAATTAAATTCACTAGTTTCGTGGTCCGCTTGACCAACTAATATCTTACAATTAATTAAGGTTTTCAGTTGAGATAAAAAAGTCAATGGCATGAGCGGGATTCGAACCCATGATCTTCGGCTTGATACGCTGCTGCTCTACCACTTGAGCTATCGTGACCTCGATCCACTCGGACACTAACTTCCCATCTCAACCACACTTCGAATCCCGCTCGGGCCATTGACTTTTTTATCTCAACTGAAAACCTTAATTAATTGTAAAATATAGAATTACTTGATTCGATCTGGCGAACCTAACCTAACCCTGTACCGTTTCCTTTGTAAATCAAGTGAGCAAAATAAATTTTCTCCTCAAGTATATTAGGCAGCAAAGGGTAAATTGTTCCCGACGTGGATATTACGGGCAAATGATTATACAAATTAATTATCATCCCATTCGCCCAAGTTTCGCTGATGTGGTCAGGTTGGCTTAACAAGGTCCGCACGAATTTGGAATTATTGAAATCAACCCCATGAATATCGAGGTCGTGATTAAATCACTAATCTGTTCCTATCGATCAATCAATTTAGCCAAATTAGGTCGTTCATCAATCAGTTGGCTAGATGGAAAGCGAAATGGCCATGACAATATTAAAGTAAATATTTGCTGTAGGTTAATCAAATTGAATTTAGCAACATGTATATGATAATTTAACCTCGGTTAATTATTTAATAACAAATACAATTCTGGAGCGATAATCTTACTAATTACATTTGATATTTTTCTGGTTAGAAATATTTTCTATATTTGTGTAATGTGCTACCCAATTCGGTGTATTCCGATTCAATAATTAGGACGTATAATTGCTTACTATACTCCTTATACGCTCTCTTTAAACTCTTGGTTATCAAAAAAATTCATATTTTTTGTAAAGAACAATACTTATAAAATATTTCATGTTCTACTTATTGTATTACAAATTCTACATAAGGAATAGTTTCTATTGTGCGGTGGCTGTTTTACAAACAAAAATGTATGTTTGTTTTGTTTTTCACTCTTTAATTGAAAAAGGGGAATAATATTTTTTCGTCTGTCCTTGATCCACATATTGAGAGCTAGTGTAGGAGAAGAAAAAATAGAAAGCATGAAACTTTTCACATCCGGACACAAGTAATCATTGCTGAATTTTTCCAATTTGGTTTGAATTAAAAAAAAGATAACTGTGATCTTTACCCAACTATCTTTAGGTTACTAAACAGTTGTTCAAAAACTCACAGTTAAAGAGGAGATTTTTTAAAAATAATGTTGGGTTGGTATAAAGTAGTACAATTTCTGGATATTATCAAGATGTTTTTTAGCCAATAACTTATCGTACGTTACGTAGAGTTAGTTTAACTTCGGTTCTTCCCTATATTTTTTTATCGTGGCGTTTTTGAGAAAACTCGAGACAGGTAAACTTTTATTTTTTATCTAGTTTCTCATGAACCAAAAAGTTTTGATCTAACTCTCCAGGATAGCGGGATATGAATACGAGCTTACCTATTTCAAATGGTAAGATACTTATCAACGCATACTTTTTAAAAGGATTCTTAACTCTCAATTCAACGGTGCGAACGGTTTTTAATTTGGAGGAAACGTTATCAAGTAAAAAAACATTTTCGAGGATTGTTATTGGCAAAACTAAATCTTCAGTCCTTTTAAAAAAGATAGTTCCCACTCACAGTAAGCTGCCCTGCAACGATCCGGATTTCGAGCCCTTTAACTCATCATCAGGTTGAAGGACTTCTACAACCACGCGAATCGCACGTCCGAATTGAGCGCCATTAAAAAAACAAAACAAAAAAAACAACTGCTAGTTGGAACGTCGCGCTGCCCGGGGGTATCAGCAGGTTCACTTATGCCACTCATGTCAAGAGACGTGGTTGTAGAAGTCCTTCAACCTGATGATGAGCTAAAGGGCT